AATGAAAAACATGCAAACACATTGAAAAATCAATGAAAAAGAACGAAGCACATCTTGAAAATGATGAAAAGTCCATGAGAAGTAATGAACAACGTCTTGAAAATAATGTAAAATCACTGAAAAATAATGAAAACATCTTCAAACTACTGAAAAATCACTGAATGCCGTCCCGGATTTTTTTAAAGAGGTTTCAGGACAAAATAAATAAGGTTAGAATGCCTCCTGGATTTCTCACGCGGTACGCCTGTTGTTTTTTTTTTTTAATCCATGTCTTTCCACCAGGGTGGCATTATAATTTTCGGTTCTACCATGTAATTAAAAGAAACAATAAAAAATAATGAAAAACATCATCAATATAATGGAAAACCAATGAAAAGTAATGAATCTACCCAAAATCAATCAAAACTGTCGTAATATGCAGAAAAAATGCAATACCGTCATCCGCCGATCCAAGAACACCTCGTTTACTCACATATAATATGTATGTACATGTACAATCATGTACATATATGTAATATATACAGCGCGTGTATATGTGTGTATAATGCCGTTTTCAGAGGTTACCATCCTATTTAATCAACATTTCATTATTGTGGGGAATATCGTGGGAAAATCCCCGACGCGCATTCTAACCCTATTTATTTAGTCCTGAAACACCTTAAAAAAACCGGGATGGCATTCCAATTCTAACCCTGTGTATTTAGTCCTGAAACCCCTAAAACTCCAAAATGTTTGACGCATTTTCGACTGTCCCGTGTCTTCCATGTGAATGGTACTGCATGTAAATTGCAAAAAAAAAACATGAACAATAAACAATGTCATACTATGCAGAAAAAATGCAATATCGTGTTATAAAGTAGAATATGCAGGTATTCGTCCATACGACATGCTCATGATCAGCAAAAAAGTAAATGACCACTAAAATTGACAGAATATGCAGAAAAAATGCAATATCGTCATCCGCCGACCCAAGAACACCTCGTTTACTCACATCTAATACGTGTGTACAATACATGTACACATATGTAATATATACAGCGCATATATATGTGTGTGTATAATGCCGTTTTCGGAGGTTACCATCCTGTTTATCAACGTTTCATTATCGTGGGGGATATCGTGGGAAAATCCCCGACGGGCATTCTAACCCTATTAATTTAGTCCTGAAACAGCTAAAACATCCTAAAACTACAAAATTCTTGACGCACTTTCGACCGTCCCGTGTCTTCCATGTACTGTATATGGTACTGCAAATTTGCAGCATATGCATGTAAATTGCAAACAGATCTTTCCATGAACAATAAACAATGTCATGATATGCAGAAAAAATGCAACATCGTATTGTAAATATACATATGCGGAATATGCAGGTATTCACCCAAAAAACATGCTCATGATCAGCAAAAGAAAAACCGTGATCAAAAAAACATGACAGAATATAAAAAAAAATGCAATATCGTCTGTGTATATTGCCGTTTTTGGAGGTTACCATCCTGTTTAACCTACATGTCATTATCGTGGGGAATATCGTGGGAAAACCCCCAACCGGCATTCTAACCCTATTTATTTAGTCCTGAAACCCCTAAAACTACAAAATTCTTGACGCATTTTCGACCGTCCCGTGTCTTCCATGTACTGCAAATATGCAGAATACGCATGTAAATTGCAAACAAATCTTTCCATGAACAATAAACAATGTCATGATATGCAGAAAAATGCAACATCGCATTGTTAATTTAAATATGCAGAATATACAAGTATTTGCCAAAAAAAAACATGCTCTATAAGAAAAAATGCAATATTGTCTGTGTAATATTGCCGTTTTTGGAGGTTACCACCCTGTTTAATCAACATTTCATTATCGTGGGGAATACCGTGGGAAAACCCCCAACCGGCATTCTAAACCTATTTATTTAGTCCTGAAACCCCTAAAACTCCAAAATTCTTGACGCATTTTCGACCGTCCCGTGTCTTCTATGTATATGGTACTGCAAATTTGCAGAATATGCATGTAAATTGCAAACAAATCTTTCCATGAACAATAAACAATGTCATGATATGCAGAAAAAATGCAACATCGTATTGTTAAGTTAAATATGCAGAATATACAGGTATTTGCAAAAAAAAACATGCTCATGATCAGCAAAAGAAAAACCGTGATCAAAAAAAAATGACAGAATATTAAAAAAATGCAATATCGTCTGTGTATATTGCCGTTTTTGGAGGTTACCATCCTGTTTAACCTACATGTCATTATCGTGGGGAATACCGTGGGAAAATCCCCGACGGGCATTCTAACCCTATTTATTTAGTCCTGAATCCCCCTGAAACCCCAAAATTCTTGACGCATTTTCGACCGTCCCGTGTCTTCCATGTACTGCAAATATGCAGAATATGCATGTAAATTGCAAACAAATCTTTCCATGAACGATAAACAATGTCATGATATGCAGAAAAAATGCAACATCGCATTGTTAATTTAAATATGCAGAATATATAGGTATTTGCCAAAAAAAAACATGCTCATGATCAGCCAAAAAAAACACATGATCAAAAAAAAATGACACAATATAAAAAAATGCAATATCGTCTGTGTATATTGCCGTTTTTGGAGGTTACCATCCTGTTTAACCTACATGTCATTATCGTGGGGAATACCGTGGGAAAATCCCCGATGGGCATTCTAACCCTATTTATTTAGTCCTGAAACCCCTAAAACTCCAAAATTCTTGACGCATTTTCGACCGTCCCGTGTCTTCTATGTATATGGTACTGCAAATTTGCAGAATATGCATGTAAATTGCAAACAAATCTTCCCATGAACAATAAACAATGTCATGATATGCAGAAAAATGCAACATCGCATTGTTAATTTAAATATGCAGAATATACAGGTATTTGCAAAAAAAAACATCCTCATGATCAGCAAAAGAAAAACCGTGATCAAAAAAAATGACAGAATATAAAAAAATGCAATATCGTCTGTGTATATTGCCGTTTTTGGAGGTTACCATCCTGTTTAACCTACATGTCATTATCGTGGGGAATACCGTGGGAAAATCCCCGACGGGCATTCTAACCCCATTTATTTAGTCCTGAATCCCCCTGAAACCCCAAAATTCTTGACGCATTTTCGACCGTCCCGTGTCTTCCATGTACTGCAAACATGCAGAATACGCATGTAAATTGCAAACAAATCTTTCCATGAACAATAAACAATATCATGATATGGAGGAAAAAATGCAACATCGTATTGTTAAGTTTAAATATGCCGAATATACAGGTATTTGCCATTTCAAAAAACATGCTCATGATCAGCAAAAAAGTACATGCTCAAAAACAATGACAGAATATGCAGAAAAATGCGATATCGTCATCCGCCGTTCCAAGAACACTTCGTTTACTCACATCTAATATGTACGTAAATGTACATATATTTTTTACTGCGCATATATATATCTATATGTATGTATAATGCCGTTTTCTGAGGCCGCATCGTCTGTGTATATTGCCGTTTTTGGAGGTTACCATCCTGTTTAACCTACATGTCATTATCGTGGGGAATACCGTGGGAAAATCCCCGACGGGCATTCTAACCCTATTTATTTAGTCCTGAAACCCCTAAGACTCCAAAATTCTTGACGCATTTTCGACCGTCCCGTGTCTTCCATGTACTGCAAACATGCAGAATATGCATGTAAATTGCAAACAAATCTTTCCATGAACAATAAACAATGTCATGATATGCAGAAAAAATGCAACATCGTATTGTTAAGTTAAATATGCAGAATATACAGGTATTTGCAAAAAAAACATGCTCATGATCAGCAAAACAAACATGATCAATAAAAACTGACAGAATATAAGAAAAATGCAATTTCATCTGTTGTATAATGCCGTTTTTTGGAGGTTACCATCCTGTTTAACCTACATGTCATTATCGTGGGGAATACCGTGGGAAAATCCCCGACGGGCATTCTAACCCTATTTATTTAGTCCTGAATCCCCCTGAAACCCCAAAATTCTTGACGCATTTTCGACCGTCCCGTGTCTTCCATGTACTGCAAACATGCAGAATACGCATGTAAATTGCAAACAAATCTTTCCATGAACAATAAACAATATCATCCCTAGCCTTCCTCGACTATATAAACAAAGGGGGTTGCACCTCGACCTTTCTTTCCTACCTAACCCCTATTGTTTTGGGGATCCCCCAGGTCCAGCCTCCAGGTCCGCCATTGTTTTGCACTCCACTGCCATCATTCGCTCATCAAGTGACGATTGCTTAGGTAGAAGCACCAAGAAGGACATATGTCATGTCTCTAGGGTGATGTTAGTACAAGGCATCAATGCCATCAATATCCATCATCCATCTATGCTCACCTTGGATGCCAGCACATAATTATAACTATTTATAGTTCACCACTGTGGGTTGTATAGCTTATATCCCAGGAATGCTTAGCAGCAACTTTTGCCAAAATATATAATTCAATGAATTCTCGATGATGCGGGTCTTCCCCGCCTCGCTCGTTGCATGCTGGCTGGCCTGCCATATCTTCATGAAGAATGCCCTGAAACGTCGTCAGATACTCAGGCTTCTAATGTAGCATTGAATATCAATGGGAAGTGGCAGCTAAATACTGGATCGTGGGCATTGATACCCCTTTGCCTTTATTCTCTTGAGTTGAGGTTATCTTGAAGAGACCTTGGGCGACGATATCATCGATACCAATTTTCTTGGTGCCCTACCCTGGCCTTGCACATGCAAACTTGTCTTGCATGTGCACGCAGAGGAACTAACTGAATTTTCAGCTTTGGTGGATGCCCGTTCCATGCACCCTTTGGCTCTTCCAAGGCTCTGACAAAGTTACACATACATATTATATTCAATGGAAACACCAAGAACTCAATGCAATGATAGCCTATCAAGCTAAGTTGAGTTCGAGATGGTGACAGTCCTAATCGTAAAATGTTTGGTTAGTTGGGAACTTGTGTTCATCATGTCGGCGACTCGCAGCCCCAAGCAGCCTTTGCCTGATACTGGCCGTATTGCTTTGCTCAAGGCGACTTGATAATGTTCTAGATTTATAAAGTGTCATTAGCAATACATGTCTAGCAAAATTCTACTGAAGTATTGTAATTCTGTTCCATGACCAATCCAAAATTGCTGTTGGAATCTAAATATAATTTGGCTGTGCGGCATCGCACAACCTGTCCCCCCCCAACTGGCCAGGAGTTTTTCAAAGACTTTTGTGAAGATGAAAGCTTCACAGCACAAAGGCGCAAGGTTTTGCGTCTAAGGGCTGGTCTCACGGACAAAGAAAAGCACAAGGTGGGGGACCTTAGTCACTTAGTCTCTTTTTCACTTAGGATTTATGTTGACCCATATTTGCAAAAAGAATCAATCAAATCAGTTCATTGATTGACATATGGCTAATAAAGATTTGCATCGATCTTGGTGAGCAACTTTCCGTGCAAAAACTATCAATGGATCTGGAAATGCGCAAATGATTTCACAGCGTTCAATAATGCTAAGAAATTGCAACCCCCGGATGGATTTACTTACATTGTGGTGGACTACAAGAATGAATGGAAATTGAGTAATAGAGCATCGTGGCCAAGTATGTGTTTTGTTTTGAGGGAAAGAAAGGTCCAGGTGCAACCCCCTTTGTTATAATAGTTGAGGACATCTAGGGCTTTATAAAATTATTCCAAAATTACAGCCGTTCATACTCAGGTGCCCAAGTTCAAGTTCGTCATCTTGGAGGGCACAGATATGAGCGAACGGGAGGTGTTGTCCTTGGCATTTCTGTCCTTTTGGAATTTGGGAAATACTTTGAACAGAGACACTTCCAAATTGTACAGTACTTGGATACCAAAATAAGTTGATTCGCCGTTTGACAAATGATATATAATACAAATAGAATGCAATGTGCCTTGTTATTCATGTCTGCAAATGTTAGGAACGATTTGGGTTTTGGTACCTCTTCACTTCACTGCCTTGGCTGCAGGTCGAGAGTGACCACAACTTTGAGGTAGCCTTGGGCCTCTGCGCTTCCTTTGCAGAGCATCCACCAACGAAGAAAGAATTCCAGGCAAGCGCAGGTAATTATTACCCAACTCAAACAGATAATTTGTTATCGATTTCTCATGGTTACTTTTTGGTTGGACATACATGGATGGCATGGCTAAGACAAGAAGTCATCATGTCCCCAAAAAAACGAAGCTGGGTTGACCTTAGGAAATGTGATTACCACCATACCGTTTTAGTAGCCTTGCTGGAAGGCTGCGCTCACCTGGTGCTCGCTGCACTACAGATTGAACCCATGGAAGGAACGCCACTATCATGAGGCTGGCCCGTCTTGACGACTTGCTGTGGCCAAGTGTAATTAATACAAATCAAAACTTTAAACGCTACCTCCAACATCCTTTCTGGTTAAAATATGTTAAAATTATATTATGATGTGCGCATTCATGGATGAATTTATATATATCATATGTGTAGCTCTGCAGTTGTACTGGAAATTTGTATCCAACAAACTCATGATGACTAAGGTACGGATATTTTCAATGATCAATACACAGTGTCATCTAAACATGTTCACACCTGCCAAACTGTCTGGCAGACATGGGCTGAAGTTGAAGCTGGCGTTGTGAAGTCTGTGTTGAGCTACTGCTTGGATCGCTTCCAGCGGAACCCAGGAGTTCGGTCAGAAGCTTACTTGGTACAACAAAGTGAGAAACATTATCATCTAGTATATATTATATATAATATAACCTTCATTAACTTAATTAATATATGGCCTTGAAAGATCGAGCTTGAAATATCTCAGTTATGAATGGAATGACAAGTGGAATGCATGGTATCCAACGAGAGGTTCAGCTCACGTCAACTCAAACAAAACCTGGGTGTTTTTCTGTTCAAATCCCATTCTTTCTGTTGGATAAAGCATGTCACCAAGAAACCCCTGACAGTGTAACCCGGGAGCCATGGTTTCAATCTACATAAGGCCGGGCCATGAGCGTACCGAGCAGCTGAAGCAAGTCGTTCACGAACGCTTGAAGGACTTACTTTCGGTTGACTGGGATGTGCCTGTGTACATGGTCATAGTGCTATGAATTGCTATCTCAACTGCGCATCCATGCACCACATTTCTTATGTGTATTTTTTTGTGGAAATAATTGGATTCCACCGAAAAAACTTCACATGTATGACAATGTTCCAAAAATTATTTGCATGCAATCACACATGCAACTGCAATGAGTTCTTGAAGAGTTAATTTGCATATAAATTGTTCGTCTTACTTGCACACTATTGTGAATCATGAATCACTTCACTATGGATTTGTGCGCAGGAATGTGACATGTTGACACCGTGTGGGAAGAAAACACCTACACGTGGACGAGGAATGAGCAAACCAAAGGATGTCTGGTGCCCAAGAGCAGTGGTTCACAAACATCGTGTTTCTGGTTGTGCTCTTAAGTGCAATCTGTCTAAGAACAACTACAAACATAGGTGTCCACAAAAATATTGGATCCCAGATCAACCTGTTCAACGGAATTGCAATTTGTTCAGTGCGTCAAAAAGTTGAGTAATTGCTACATGTACAACTGTTTTGAGATGTGGGTACAGAGCTATTACTTTTGAGTATCGAACCCTCTGCTCTATATGAGTTGAATTAATAATCAACGTATTATATTCATTGGTCCAGATCGTAATATGTGTATATAATTGCTATATTATATCAGTTATATGTTTATAATGTTGATTTGTTATATTAAATATATAGTAGTTATAACGTATATCGTTATATAGTGGTAGAATATAGTACCTTGTCATATATAATATACGTGTTCAAGTCATGTGGTAAATGATACAACCTGTTTTTTTAGTTTCATACGCGCTAAGGCAAAGGCTGACGCCACCAAAGAAGCCACTCCAAACCCGGACACCATGGACACACTCCCGATGCCAGAGACCCAGATCACCACGCCCTCTCCCGTTCATCAAATGCGTCCTTTGCCTTCCATGTCACCTCCGCCTATTTTGAAACCTTCTTCGTTGCTTTCTATCCCCACTACGTTCGATGGGGAAAAGAACAAGTGTGAAGAAACAGCAGAGGAGGAAAAGATGACTGATGATGAATGCTTAGAAGTGGTTGATCATGGGGATGAAGCTATCAATATCGAAAGTGGGGAAGAAAATGTTATGTCACCGAACCCGAAGAAAGAAATGGAAATTGATAGCCAGTGGAGGCTGCAGGATGACACCATGGAAAGATGCAATGCTCCTAGTCCACCTAGTGAGAAGAAACCAGAGCCTGAGACACATGCTGGAAAGGATTCAGAGTCTTTCCCCGCAGCCAAGAAAGCCAAGATTACCCAACAGGATTCTAAGGCTATGCCAGTTCAGAACCCAGCCCAGTCTGAAGAGCCTTCCACCTGCGCACAGCACGCAAAAGAGCTTGAACAAGCCATTGACAGCGACGACGAAATCAGAAAAGGCTGCTTCAAGGCAGGTTTTGTGGTATGAGCATGGTTCCAATAACTTGCTTTGCAAACAGTGATCAGTGATCAGCCTTATGCAGGTGTAAATTAAATTATATATGTCACATATAATATATAATTTATATGCATGCATGTATGGGCAAATCACTTAACAAGTTTTTGGAAGTTAGACGACATGATCAAGTAATCACCCAGGACACGCATCCTTCAGTTCAAGAAAAAGAAACCAAGTGACAAAAACTGTATAGTATATATTATCATGGGTGCACGCATGTATTATATATATATATATTATATATTATGTCCCTACATGTTTTTCATCAGAAACATGTGTTTTCTTGTTGTACGATGCCCTGTGCAGGATCGCAAACCTTTGGTGGAGGACGTTCCCGAAGTACCCAAAGAATTGGAGGAAACAATTGCAAAAGCCATGCTAGATGAGGACCTTGAACAGGCTCAGGAAGCTGATGCAGAAATCAGAAAGGTGGGGCCCAACAAACACTTCGATTTCGCCACATCTCTGATGTAACTTTGATTTTCTTGTTAGCTGGTTTGGGGTCCCAAAAATCTACGCCCAATTCAAACATGCAATCTTATCAGCACGCGATTGCACATGTTACCAAAACAGTTGAGAAGTCACACATAATACAAAAGAACGGTTCATCCTCGGGAACAGTTAAATTACTCACACATCTTGCAAGGCTCAGCTGGCTCTGAGAAGGCTGGCCAAGGAGACTACCATGGAAGCAGAGGACCCGGATAGGTTCTATGCTAATGAAGGCGGTGATGGGGATGATGGGCCTGGGAAGTCGAGGGGAAGAGGCAGGGGAAAAGGTAGAGGAAAAGGTGGCGGGAGAGGCAAAGGGAAGGGAGGAAGAGGTAAGAAGGACAAGAGCAGCAATGAAGGATCCCGAAAGGAAGACAAACCAGAGGAAAAGAACAATGAAAAGAAGAAGGATGAGGAGGGACGAGCAGCAAATGATGATGATGGGAATGTTGAAAAAAACAAGAGCCTGGATGGCCCACCTTCCCCAAAAAGCACACCGAGAGTTCTCCGCAGAACTAAGTCAAAGCGCAGGGGCTTGCTTCAGAAAGCAAAGCTGGTAAGCCCACAGAGTTCCAAGAAAAGACCACCGCAAGAAAAGACAGAATATCCAGATGATGGAGCAGAGCTTCATGAGCCAGAAGTGGCACCCGAGCAAGAGGAACTACCACCTACGACCACAGAGAGGGCAACTAAGAACCGTAGGAGCCGACGTGCCAAGAAACCGAAAACTGAACCTGCCGATGTCCCCCACAAGGATGACAGCGAGCCACAGGATCACAAAGAAGAGGACCAAACCGAGCCAAAACCTGAGGGTGAAACACCTGAGCTTGAAGAGGCCATGCAAGCAGAAGAGAAGAAGAGAGCCATGCAACTACAGGCAAGTTCATGTCATGTATGGCATGCATACATCACACAACCATAGTACACACAATATTTACAACATATGTTGTATAATAATAATTACACTAGTATGTGTGTTATTATATAATATAGTAACATGTTTTAAAGTATATTACAACAAAATATATCATTTAAATTATTTATATAATATATATTGTTACTATATTAACTACAGCGCATGGCTCAGTCATGGTCTTTCTCCATAAATTTCATGGCAAGCCATGAGTTACTTGGGTAACATAGTTTTCTGTACAGAATGTTCTAAATACTAACAAGTTCTGAAGGATTACAGCATCATGATTAAATGTGTCGATTCTGTTTCAGGCCCGGGACTACAATTGGAAACTCTTGGCTGAGATTGATGATGCAATGCTCAGCCTGCCTACTACTGAACAGCTGGGATCTGCAAAGTAGCAACCTCAGACTATCTCAGTGCCATGTATTTAGTTTTAAAAAAATGATGCAATCTATGTGCGCGTGTTGCACTGGCACCGCATATTCAAATTCACATGGCTTTGCATGCATCTCCGCGCATTGGATGTGATTGCACATCATGTGTGCCATTTCTTTACCCAAACATACTAGAATCTGATGGAAGAAAAACTTGATGTGATATCATCCCCCGCACAGAGGTCTAGCATAGACTTATTTGAAACATACCAGCCTTACTATGGCCATTGTTTGAGGTCGTTCACGATGGACCCTCCGGACAACTTGCCGCCACACCCCAAGGGGTGGAATCGATCCAAGATCCAAGTCTTGCCCAGCACTCAGATCTGACTGAAACATATGTGTGAAGTTGGTTTCCTGGACAGCTGCAAGAACTATGCTCGTTTTGAACCAACTTGATAAGTTCGACTTTAATTCTGTTCTGCACTATTATTTTGATAGTTGTTGATAATCTTGATGGAACAGCATCTTAAATTCAATCTTTGTTTGCTACTCTATGGGTTGAGAGGTGCCGATGTATGCCGATTTGACCTGAATTTGCCAAGGCTTCTCCTCTCAAGGTCGACTGCGGCTTCCTTTTACATTCCCCTGGTGGCACAGGATACTTTGGACCTGATAGCATTGGAGAAAGGTATGAAATTTCAGGCCGGTTGGTTGCCACTTTTCCTGCTTATTCAATGTGAACATGGGTATGAATTAATTAATTCATTCTTCCTATCTTGGGATGTCGATTGAGACCCAAGAGTATGGATGATTATTAGGAAATAGCCAAATTTGGCCTCGCAATTTTGATTACGAATCTCTGCAAAGCTTCAGTCAGACCTGATGCTCACACTACGCAGGCCAACAATGCAAAGTCAAAAGGCGTCAGCTTGGCTTGGAACAAGTTTGGTGGTCCGAAGGAAGCGTCTGGTGCCCAGTGCCAGTTCAACAAATTATATATATATATATATTATTGATTTCAATTTATTTATTATATCTTATTTGGCTTGCACTTGTGCCTAGCAATCCCTTTTGGTGACTTACTGTTGATCTATATATGCCCAATAGTCAAGGCTACATGGTTCAAATCTTGGATGTTATTCATGCATGAACTAACTAAGAACTATAATTATACTAGATTGATCAACTGATCCATGTGGTCGAGGAAATGCTCTCAAATGAAGTTGTATGGAATCCTACTTCATAGAAGTCTGAATTATGATACAAACAGACCCAGGCAGAAATGGCCAGAACATGGAAACTGTGTCCTTTCGTTCTGCTGAGGTTCAATGTGGCTAAGCTGGTTGCTGGATGGATGATGCCATCAGCTGACGCCCATTGACTGGGGTGATCAGATCACTTCTTGAGGGTGCCTGCGCCGCTGCCAGAGTAGCGGTCATGTAGCTGTTGGAGACCATTTTGTGGTTTAAATTCCAATCGGTATTTTGACTGGATCCATTCCCTTAGACTTGAGCGAAGGCTTATCTGTGTTATTTGGATGAATGTTGGTTTGAACCATGTTTGTTATTGGGCTTCTGTGTCAAACCCAGCTTTCAAAGCCTGAACCGACATGGGAATCTGGATCCAAGTGTCGATGACAGGAATGGAGGGCCCCGGGGTATAAGTTCCAGTTAAAAAAACATGAACCCCGCATGAACTACGTCATAAAACAAAAATTCATTATCGAACAATATAATATATACTGTGAAAGTCTTTGGAGGGGGGCAGTACCATTCCAATGTCCAATCTTACATTTGGGGTATTGTCCAAGTAGCGCATGACATGTGCAGCTTGTGGGGTGCAAACTACCATCGTGGCATGGCAAAAAAGAAACTGTTTCAAACAGTGATTGCTAGTTGTGAGTCCATGCCTCATCATATTAAGGAGCTTTCATGTGTCATGCTGAGCAAATCATTTTAAATACACGCATGGTCTATCATGGTCCCACATCGTTCTGCTCCGTGCCTTTGCATTTCAGGAAGGCTCAGGCAAACGTTGCCTAGGTGTGACAGGGTGTGTTGTTGGGCCATGGTGCGCAAGGCTGAGTGGTCAAATTCCCCACTTGCGCTTACACAGCGCTGCTCCAACCTATTGATGAAATGGGGACTGCCGATCATCCTGTTTCTTGACATGAATTATAATTATTGTACTACAAATAAAATATAAATCTCATATAATATAATGGTGGGCAGTTGGGATGTAGAAGTAATATAATGACACTATTCATGGATTCGCTTACGTTGCCTTCAGGTTACACCTGGTGGATTACGTGGTTCAGTCTACTCCTCCAAGTGAGTGGGCGAGGGCTATTTGCTCAGATACGTTTCATGGGTGTGTTGTGCAATGACCAACCTTTGTTTTACCAGCTGACATACCCCGACCCAGATCTATGGATTTAATCATTTAACAACACCCGCGGTGCCCAAGGACACTGTGCTACTTGATGGCTTTTCGGGACAACAAGCCCTGAGCCAATACTATCGTGGGGGGCCCCAATCATGCAGTTATCAAAGGCTGCCATTGGTTTAAAACATTTTTTCAAACAAATTCCACAAAGAAAAACAGTTGGTGCCATTGCCACCTTAATGATACTTAATTTGTCATGTTGATTGCCATCGTCACATGACCACGGCCATTGCCACCACAACCACCACCATCACCATCATCACCATGATCATAAGTATCATATCATTCCCAAACATAATCATTCATCATCATAATCATTTATCATCACCATTCATTATCAGCATCATCATCATCATCAGCATCATCACCATCATCATCATCATCATTATCATCATGACCATCATGATCATGAACATCATCACCATCATCACTATCCTTCTCTAAATCAACGACCTTATAACAGTTGCCATCCTCCTCTCCATCATCACCACAGTCGTGGTCATCATCGTTATTATCATCTGATTTGTTTCTCATGATCAACCTGCTTTACTTATTATATCATTGTGGTTGTTCCACCAGGAAACATGTAGACTGTTTTGTCTTGACCTGTGCCACGATTAAGGTGAACAAGGACTGGCAGCGCCCGGGGCTGAGAATGATCATTCAATTTATTTTGGAGCGGTCATTTCATCATTCTTCAGAATCTTTTCTGGTTGAATGCAGCACCTTAGAATTCAAATCTGGAAAGTGTTCAAATCACCTGCATACGTAACAGCATGTTTGTGAATTTCTTGTTGTGCCTGATTCAGATTTCAATTCCTGCTTGCTCTGCCATTATTAAGGGACCATTTTGACCTGCTTGATGGTCCTGATGGAGACATACTTGAACCGTCCTGACCTCAAACCTGAAACGTTTATGATATATTGTACTATGATTTTTGCAGCTGCTAGAAAGCTCGGGGTGGAATATAACATTGTTGTGCGTGCATGGGCATGGGTAATTGTGATGTATGATATCTTGTTTGCATCAAATTGTCATCAAATTCATATCCTCCATTGTCTCTGTTGTGATGTTGTTTCCTGATTAGGTTGTTAGAGTTGTTAATGCTGGTGGTCCGTGCTTTGTTTTGTTTCATTTCACCATATATATATATATATATTCTACTGCTGCTACTGTGTGGCTTGTGTTGGCATTCAATTATTGCTCTGGCATGGCTGAGGAAAGGCTTCTGCCAAATCATCAAGAAGGTCCTCAAAATAGCCCCTTGTGGGCTCCTATTTGGGGGCCCGCCCTGCGGGAGTTGGGTGTATATAAATCGAGCCACCTCCAAAAGATCAGCAAGGAGGATATTCGGAGATTGTAGTCGACTTTATGTTCGACATGCCAACACGAGCCTTTCCTCCATATATAATATTTGCAATATTGTGCAATTGAGTTATATGTACTAAACGATCTTTTTTGTGATGCGGAGTGTAGAAACTATCCTAGGTCATACAATGTTTGATGTGAAAAATTGATATCAGGATTGGCTTTGAAAAGTTCATTTTGCTGATTACAATGGATTAGTACCTCGAAGGTTCTTGAGCCTTGTGATTGTGGCGCTGAGGATAACAACTCGT